GCAAAGCGTTAGGCAATGAGAATAGTAAGCCACGCATGCGCATATCGGCACAATAGTATAGTGCTAAATTAATTTTTTGTGAAGTTATATTAGAGTAAGTGTATTACAGTAAATGTTTATTTGACAACAATTAATATTTATTTAAGAGTGAGTATTATTATGTATTAATTCTAATTCCTTGTAGTTATCGATAGTTTACGGCTTCTTAAGCACTTGGAAAAATAAACGGAAGAGAAAAAAATTTGACCATTTTTTTTGTTTTTGAATTACATAAAAATGTATTAAAGTAATACTTCATAGATGGACTAAAGATGAAATATGTTGGAAAACATAAACCCTGAAAATTCTCGTGCTCACTCTTTCTTTCACCAATCATTACTTATTCGTTATAAAAGTATCGAGATCGTTAAAGAAATTTCACTTCTTTCATGTGTACTGAGTTGCACGTGTTGTTTTTTAATATTAAGTTTTTTTTTAACGAAACAATAGATAATATGTAATCAACTATATTCCATGATTAATTAAACAGATTTGTAATCGAATCGCCTCAAAAAAATAATTAAAATTGTATCTGCATCAATAATATTAATAATAACACGTAGTAATTTTAAGTCAATGCTTGTTAGTAATAAATAAAAAATAAATATTTCAGATAAGTTATCAGGTGCTTTTTTTTATTTTACAGACTGGTGGTTCTTCAAGAAACGCATCGATAAACATATGGATCCCATAGAAAATTTCAATAATTATAAAGGGGTAATACAACATTGTATAAAAACAAATACTCTATGAATTAGACAAAATTATTACATAGCATTAAATTAAAAAAAAGCCGCGTGCAATTCAAGATGGTCAAATTTTTTTCTCTTCCGTTTGTTTTTCAAAGTGCTTAAGAAACCGTAAACTATCGATAACTACAAGGAATTAGAATTAATACATAATAATACTCACTCTTAAATAGATATTAATTGCTGTTAAATAAACATTTGCTGTAATACACTCACTGTAATATAACTGCGCAGATACCGGGTGACTGTAATACCGATATGCGCATGCGCGCCGTTATATTCTCATACTCTATCGCGTCGTGAGACAAAACGTTGAAAAACGTGTCGCTTCATGGCCTTGAGATTTTACTTCCATCGAACCTAAAGAAGTTTCACTTCAATAAAATTAACGCTTAAAATATTATTAATGTTTCCATGGTAAGGTCTTCCCACTACTGCGTATCTTCCCTATTAAATCATTACCGTTTTTATCTAACAACAGCATTTAAGTGTTACATACATAGTATTCACAAATTCATAATTAGGTCATTGGTAGAAAGTTGGTACAACTAAATTATTTATTTAAAACTGCAAGCTAACATCTACTTATCTAGTGGTCAATTGGTAACCGTTTAAATATCGGAATCAATAATAATCTAGGGCAGAGGTTTTTAACCCTTTTCTGCCCACGGATCCCTAGGAAGTCAAGCACAAATCCAAAGACCCTTTAATAAATAAACATCAACACATTTCAGACCATTTATTTTAGTAGGTATTACAAGTACAAAAAACTTATTTTTAAAAAAATACGTTAATGTGGTTAGTGCTGCTTTTTCGCAACTAAGCGTAGCTTTTATGAGAAATGGTGGCACTTATTTATTATTGTTCAATGGTCCATAGGTGGGATTGCGGCGGACGCTCGCACATATATTCGCGGCCCCTGGGGGTCCGCCGACCACAGGTTAAGAAACACTGATGTAGAGGAGTCGAATTCACGATCACAGAGAAGCAAATAGTGCACGGTGGTGAGGCAGCTTACCGTTTTTATTCACCCTGTCATGGTTCTCTATCATTTTCTAAGTTCCTCAATTATATAACAAGATAGGCTAATATTATTATTACATTATTAAATTATTTATCAATTATAGTTAACTTATTGTTTGAGTAAATAAATTGCTTTTATTTATTATCTAATGTGAAATTGTTAACGTTAGAACGAATTTTCTAGCGCAGTTATTAATTTAAATAGGTTTCGTACGTACCTATATGTAATTTATTTTACACAAAATCGCATTTATCTAACAATCTGTTACTACTTTCTTTATCACATTTATCTAAGGTGTTCTTTATACTGTCATAGAAAACTTCCGATTATTTCCTGAGACTTCCTGTGTTTCTTTTGTTGGGTTACCTTGTAATAATATGGTTTACGATCGCGTGTCGGTTTTTGACGGCATTTTTAAGTGCCGCTATAACGATCGCCATTTGCGGTATTCATTCCTAAAAATACCCATTTTGGATTCTTTTGGATTTTATAGTGTTTTGCATAATATTTATAAATAGTTGTACTTCTAATCGTCAGAAAACATCGTACCTAATGAGTTTCTTTTTATTAAGGCTCTTCATATAATTACATTTCTATACTGCTACTTCTACGCATTTACAAAAGCCTTTCAATAATACATTGATGGAAGTCTAGTAATGCATTCTTTAATAACTTTGCCTAATACTATTTAAGCCATAATAGGCCTATATGATCCCCCCATCGTCATTACAAAGATTCGTTTACAAAATAACTTTAAATAATATTAAATTATTAAGTTAAAGATCACAAATATGATTTTTTTAAGCAAAATGAACACAATGTTGCTGTTTCTAAAGTTGACAAGTACACCAGTGTGTACAATAGTCATTAACAAACATATGTATAAAGAATTAATGCAGGATTTATTAAATAATAAGAAAACTTATAAAATTTTGCATAAACTCTCTACTAACAATATTAGAACGAATTTTCTAGTAAATCAGCTATCCATATGCATACTAATAACTAACTAACTACTAACTCCGGCTGTCATCCAAAGGCCTATTTATATTAACATCGAATTCTCGTGAACAGTTTTAATTCTTCTCGAAAATTTCGGGACTCCTATTGTTAAGAAGGCAAACATGTGTCACTCAGGATATGATTTATTTACCTTTTGCGTCTTTAGTAAAAAGTTGCCACCTATCGGTCGGTCCCTGTCTGCGAGCATACTCAATAGCTGTCGATAATAATTAATCTACGTAATAATCAGTAGATGTTTGTATGTAACAATATTAATAATAATCTAAACAAATGTTTAAACAAAATAATGAATAAAATACTTATTTTTTGAGTAACAAAATGGGTGGGATAGAATAGTGTTGGTATGTACTTTTAATATATGCATACATGCCGACGGCCAATTTGCAGAAGTTACCCAAAATATCACAACATTTTGAAAAAACGCATTTTCAACGCAAAACTGCTCACAATATAAGAGGACGAAACACGTGACTGCGTTTTTTCAAAATGTTGTAGTAGTTGGGGCAAGTTCACTCAGTTTAATTATTTACTTCGCCACAGTCTCCTTTTGTATTTTTATTTTAGTAAACCAACAACTTAAACAACGAGCTCCCCCACGAGTAAACTTGATAAACTAAATGTGAGGACTCCTTTTGAACTATTTGAACGACTTCTCAGTGGCGTAGTGTGAATTTCTGCCACTCGGGGCGAACAAAAAATTTTGCCGCCCCTCACATTTTCATCATCTGGGGCCATATTATCATCTGAACACCCCGCCATCAGGTTATGCCACTCGATTTTCTAACGATGTGTAACTTCTTTGGCGATGTCTATACCTTTATAACGAATAAATAATGATTGGTGAAAGAAAGAGTGAGTACGAGAATTTTCAGGATTTATGTTTCCCAACATATTTTATCTTTAGTCCACCTAAGGAGTATTACTTTAACAGGTTTTTATGTAATTCAATAACAAAAAATGGTCAAAATTTTTTCGCTTCCGTTTATTTTTCCAAGTACTTAAGAAACCATAAACTATAAATAACTACAAGGAATTAGAATTAATACATAATAGTACTCACTCTTAGATAAATATTAATTGTTGGTAAATAAACATTTACTGTAATACAGTTACTGTAATATAACTGCACAGATATAACCAAAAAATTAATTTAGCTCTATACTATAGTGAATATACATTGTACTATAATATATGAGGTGCCGGTCACCAACAGCTGACTGACTTATCGCTTCACGAGACGAAACGTTACAAAACGTGTCGTTTCATGGCCTTGAGATTTTACTCTCATCGATCCCAAAGAAGTTCCACTTCAAAAAGACATATCTTTACATACATTTCGTTCGTCTCGTCTTTCTCATCCGAACCACCACCCACCCATTCCCGCATTAGTGGCTGGTGGGAATGAAACACCCAAAAGTTTTTAGAAATGTTAGGTAGTAAGTTTTGATCTTGCTCTCTATTGTACATTATATGTGCTATTGGCGATTTCACTATTTATTTATATATTTTAATTTTGTGGTGTGATTTTCCTTTACATGCTATAATTTGTTTTGTGTTTTGTCTTGTGTGTGTATTGGTGTGATCCTAATTGTATTTTTCTTATTTGTGATTTTATTTTCATTTTTTTGATAAACCGACAAATTTAATTGTTTTTCCAGTAATATAAAAACGAAAAGCGAATGCAAAAAAAGCACCTCGAACTTTTACAGATAAAACTGCTACATCGACCGCTCTTTCGGTTTGTAAATAACAATAAATTGAAATTAAAAAAATGTTATCTATCTACAAATTACTGACACGGGCAGAGCAATGGTCAGATTAAATCAAAGGGTTTGTTTATCAAATTAAAATTAATTCCAGGGAATACAGCTATCGGATGATTAACATCTTGCGCTTATGAGATTATATCTCCTTTTGTTTATCGATTCGACTTCAGAAAGTAATTATGATTTCCGAGGTATGGAAATCCATATTATCCAGTTATTTCACACAGCACAAAAAGTTAAAAAGGAAAAAAACTTAACAAGTAGATTATACTTTATCAAATAAAGCAATTTATAGAAAACCAAAGTACTTATACTAATTAATTAATTTTACCGTTTATTTATCTGAAGAATTGATCAATAATTTTTCATATATAAACAGCAACATTCGTGAGACATTCATAAAGTGACAATACGTTTCAGTAACAAAATGTCCAAAACCATTTTATTTTCCTTTGCAATTGTGTGCATTTCTGGTAAGTCATTTATAGCGTTATTGAAACATAAGATTATGGTTATTTTTCTATATTTCACACCTTCTCCACTTTCCTAAAATACGACCCTGTATTTTTAAAAAATTTTTTTAATTGGCTCTACCTATCCTCAGCCTTATTTACCAACTTATAGCATTCCTTCCAAGTTCTACTAGCCTTACATCTTTCTAATTCAAGTTTCAAAAATTTACCTCCTTGTTACACATCCTACCCCGTCTGTTATCCTTTTTCTAATAATTTTATGCTCTACACCCATTCCCTATCCTACATTTTGTCAGCACGTATATTCTCTTTCCCTCCTTGTAATAATAACTCCTTTTGGACATATCCGCCAGGGGTCACACGTGGCGCGTGATGCTTTGACGCGTGACGTTACACGTTTCGGTTGGATACCCTAGTAAATTTCCTTCCTATCGTCGAGAAAGAAGTTTTACTTTAGAAATACTGTTATAGATAGAAAAATTAATTTTATGTGATCGTCCGACATATCATACGTAAATTGTTCAGAATTAAATTGAAATATATAGTATTAATAACCTAAATATTAATTTAAAATTTTAAATATGATAGCCAATAAAAAAACATCAACACGAGCGAAACCGTTGGTAAAACCTAGTTTATTATAAATAATCATAAGTGAAAGCAAGGGTTTGAATATGGGACTAGAAAAATCTTCAGTTTGATTTTAGTTACAATGTCATAATTCGTAGTTACCCGAAAAGAACTAGTTTCTTAAAATTTTCTATTATCTCTACTTACTGACCTTGCTTTTGTTAATGTATCTTAATTAATGCTGCCTTAAAAGTCCATTTTTACGGAGGTCAATGGTTCGAATTCAAAAACTATTGCACAGGGAATTAAAAGGCTTTTCAAATGGTATGTAGTTTGACCTGACCTTCCCTTTAAAAACTCAAAGGAACTGTCCCACCCTGCTCTGAGGTTGAAACAGCATGAATTAATGTAGATGCTCCCCTTACAATTGAAATCGACGTGTCTTCGCTTTTTACCCAAAATGATATACTGTTTGTTTCAAGAAGTTAGAGATATGCCCCTTCCCTTTATTAGGATGCGCCGTAGCATAATTCCAAATTCAATCATATTTGTCTGCGGAGCTCATTTCTCCACCGATCATCGAGCGAGAACTAGACAAAAGTGTACAGTACCATTTGCAAAATTATTTAAACTGCCTCGTTAAAAATTAAGAATATGCTTTATTTAAAAGCATATTTAGCAAAAAATAATAACAAGTGAATTAACTTAACGTTCTACACACCCATAAAACTTTTGCTTTATTGTCTATTGTTAATTTATGTACATTTTTGTTTTAAGAAACTGCTAAACATTTTCGTCTAGTACTGTACAGTTCTAGCCGATCTCCTAAGACCGCTAATTGAGAGCTCTGCACGTTCAGTCTTGTTCCAACTATTTCTGTCTTGCTCACGCCTAGTGTGTATTCTTTCTATCTTCGCGCAATTTCTTCAAGGTCACAATTCTAACAAATTAAAATAGACTGTACAATTGTATTTACTAATTTCAATGGACCACTTTCTATACAGTCGAAGATAGACGTTTAAGTTCGCTCACATTTCTAGTTATCAACTCAAATATGTACGTAAAAATTAGCGATCTTTAATTTTGATTACTCGATAATATTCTGACTATCGAAACTTGGGAAGCCTTACACACACTTCCAGCTTTTAATTAAACGTTTTAATAGTCAGCTAATAGTTCCACAACATAATAGTGTGGGACGAGATAGCCACAACCGTTATAATTTTTCAAGACCGTATTCTTTACAAATTTCAACTCATATTTCGTCGTTTCTCTACCTCTTTATCCACGACTATATCAATGATGAACAAGTATATATATATATATAAATATACTTACCCTACAACATTATTTGGTATATAGAGTGATATTCGCTGTTAAGCTATACCTATTGGCTTTTTTTTATTGTTAAGTTAACTTTATCCTAATTCTTTTTCTTAGGTGTCCTTGCCAGGCCCAACTTCAATACAGCCACTGATTGTAAGTAAATTTTATTTATTTCTCATAAACTAATTTAGCTTAAAAGAAATTTATTCTACACTAAGTTATTGCATCTTATACTGATTTTCGACATACGATTTTATTTAGTATACATAATATTAGATAAACAACGTACTTATTCTATTTTCAGTTAGGGATGGTGATGGTTCTGAACTAGGTGCTGCTGATTACACAGATCCCGGTGCAAACCATGGTGAGTTGAATTGAACTTACAACTTAAATCAAACATGTGAAGCCCATTTCAAAATAACGTTTTCTTTTCTGTTTTAGGACATGGATTCAGAAGTCAAGGTGAGAATTTTGTACACCCTAATTCCATGATGTATAAGAACGTTCAATATTTAATTAACAAAAATTAAGAAAGTCAGTCATTTGTGTTTAAAACAAATTTGTTGGATACTAATTTGTTGTATCCAATACTGATTTTCCACTTGCGATTTCAATTAGATAAACAACATACTTATTTTATTTTCAGTTAGGGATGGTGATGGTTCTGATCTAGGTGCTGCTGATTACACAGATCCCGGTGCAAACCATGGTGAGTTGAATTGAATTTGCAACTTGAATAGAAAATGCGAAGACTATTTCTAAATAACATTTTGTTTTCTGTTTTAGGTCATGGATTCAGAAGTCAAGGTGAGAATTTTGTACACCCTAATTCCATGATGTATAAGAATGATCGAATTCAATTAAAATAGGCAGGGATGAACTTTTGTGTAAAAATTCCCCAGCAAACAGTTTAAAAGAAATTAATTCGATACTAATTTGATGTATCTAATACCAATTTTCGACTTGCGATTTCATTTAGATAAACAACTTACTATTTCTATTTTCAGTTAGAGATGGTGATGGTTCTGAACTAGGAGCTGCTGATTATACAGACCCCGGCGCAAACCATGGTGAGTTGAATTGAACTTGCTCTTGAATCAAAAATGTGAAGCCTTTTTCTAAATAACATTTTTCCTTTCTGTTTTAGGTCATGGATTCAGAAGTCAAGGTGAGAATTTTGTACATCTTAATTCCATGATGTATAACAATCAATAGTCAATTAAAATAGGAAGGGATGAACACTTGCGTGAACATTTCACAGCAAACAGTTTAAAGCAAATTTATTGGATACTTACTTATTGTATCCAATACTGATTTTCGACTTGCGATTAAATTTAGATAAACAACGTATTATTTCTGTTTTCAGTTAGGGATGGTGATGGTTCTGAACTAGGAGCTGCTGATTATACAGACCCCGGCGCAAACCATGGTGAGTTGAATTGAACTTGCAACTTGAATCAAACATACGGAGCTCATTTCGAAATAACATTTTCTTTTCTGTTTTAGGTCATGGTTTCTAAACAATAAGATGAAGGAGGTAAGAATTTTCATTACCATAAACTAGCAAAACAATGAAAATTAGGTTTAAAAAATTATGAAAGGCTGTGATTGGCATTTGCATAAAAAATTCTTCATACGGTTTAAAATAATATGCGATGTTTATTGTTTGACTTTAATTGGTGATGCATAATATTTTAAACAATACGAAAAACTAGTAGATACTTCATCGGACAATGTATACTAGGCCTCACTCAACACGTCGTTTTTTAGAACAATATAAATTGTTTTTATACCGATTACTACACATAATTTAATAGAATCGTTTGCCTTTCGTGCAGATATCGTTTTTTATTCGCTTTAACTTTTAAAGTAATTTTTTATTTCCATCAAACTATACGTACATGCAAAAGATTAGACAGTTAGTGGAATTGTGTTAAAAATTGATCATAAAAGATTTGGTTAATAATAATAGGTAGGATGAATGAAGATGGATGCAACCGTGTAATGAAAATATTTATATCTACCATCAGTTCTGTTTCTAGGTGGTCATAATTGCTGAAGGCGATGTACTTAGCAGCAGCATGCTTTACTGAATATATATATATACACATGTAGAACATAAAATGTATTAAATAGAGTGTCTACACAAATAAATGTTAGAAATATGATGGTGTTTTTTTTTGAACAGCTATAGTGAGTTGTAGTTTGCTTACCAAAAGAAGGTCTTTGGTTTTTAAGACAAATACCCTTCATAGTAAATCTGTGAAAGGCTGAGATTTACTAAATGCTATGAAGAATAATGTAACAAAAGAAAAAATGAAATAAGCATTATAAGAAAGTAACAGTGATTAGTTACATCTGAAGGTTTAAACAGGGAAATTCTTACTTCAATGGTTTCACGGCTAGTATTCATTCGCTTCCAAGGAAGGAGTCGAAGATAGCATCAATACACTATGCCGAAAAGTATGCAGCAATACCCATCTCATAATCATCTGCGAACTTATATCAAGATCAAGTGCATTTTTGAAATGATCTTGGGCACAGTCATCAAGATCGAGATAGTGGTCAACCTTGCGTGTTCCTCTTTAAATCCAATAACTTTTGTATAATGAACATTTCTCATTATCATCATAAGGTCGTCAGTCAGTCGACATTCATCTCCACTCTTGCCTATCTTGAGTTAATCATCGCATTTCCCTGAAACTAGAACAACCCATATCCTATACTATCTCGAACAGTGATCTAATCTAGGTCTACCTCTACCCCTCCTAACTTCCGTTTCTGCCTCTTATTTGTCTCTGACTAGACCTTCATACCAGAGATGGTGTCCTACCAACCTATCTCGCCTATTTCTTATTGACTTCCATAGAGTCAGTCCTCTATTCTCCTATTCTTTCTAATAGCTCTTCATTTCTGACCTTCTCTATCCACAGTATCCTCATTATTTACCTGTAACACTACATTTCGAATGTTTCTAACCTTTTCTTTTCCGCCGCATACACCGCCTATGCATCGCACCCGTACTGCGCCGCGCTTCAACCATACACCTTTAACAATCTTTTTGGAATTTGTAAATTAACCGTTCGTGAGCATAGAAGTGACTTCTTTTTATTGAAGACTATTCGACCCTGCGCTATACTCTGTTTTATATCCCTACTACTCCTTCCGTCCTGACTTACTTGACTTCCTAGATACCTAAAACCAGTCACTTCTTCTAATTTTTCGTCTCCTTTCTTTACATTCGCTCTTTCCATACTTTATCTTCCCTGAAGAAATAATCGATTGAATATGATATCAATTACACATTAGGCATGCCAAAAAGCGTGCGCTAATTTGATCCATAACTCAGAAGCGAAGCAAATGCTGCAGCAATAAAATTCTATAGATAAAAAATATTTCGCTCTTTTCTCTTGTCCTTCCCGCCTCCAGTCTACTGCCCACCCACCAACACCACCATGAGTAGCAGATTGGAACGAAATGCCTTTGAAAAGTTTGTTCTGGTTTGACGGATCCACTGTTATGACAGGAAAAGCGAAAAATGTCAACTCTTCCAAATGGAGACCTTAATATTTTAACTGGTAATTGAATATTTGAACTACGGGAGATTATCTATATACTTATGTTAAAGCATTGACTGATAAAAAAAACGCTCAAATTTTTGAGATATACGAGTTGTCAACCGACGTACAACTTCTGAATGTTATCAATACAACAGGAAAACATTATTTGCATGCGATAAGCAACGCATATGACCTTGATAGAAAGAATACCCAAGAAAATATGAACGTGTATACCTTCAAGCGTACGTATGACGTCATCTTCCGAGCTATGTATGACGCGTTTCCAATTGTACATTAGCTTGCTGGAAAGAGGGGATAATATTCGAAGTACTTACACAATACATTGTCTCGTTTTTATCAATTTATATGATTATTAAAGCAACAAAGAATATAAAAAAAACTTTAAATTATTATTTTAATCTGTCAAGACTGGCTGATACAATGATAAAACTTCTTTCATCCTATTATCTTGTTAAACTAATACGCGAATATCAATAATTGTTTAATTATTTTTACGTTACAAATTTTAAAAAAAATTAAGTACCCTCTTCAGATTTTCCTGTTTATTTATTTATTCTTATCGCATAATAAGAATATATCTACGTATAATTATTAGTAAAAAAGTGGACAGACAGACACACGAGAACCCTCTGAAAACTATCCAGGATATACATAGGTACTTTAATTTTATTAAGAATTGTTCAAGAAGAAGAGATGACAAAAATTTCAACTTTTCTTTAAATAATTCTTTAAACATTAATGTGAAGTCAGTTCAATTTATTTCCCGTTATACCTCACCTCAAGTTAATGAGAAAAAATTTGTTGCTGATCTCAAAAAGTTTATTGTACGTATGTATTTAAAATGCACATTTTACTAATAATGTAGCATTAAAATTAGGTGTCATTATCATCATAAGGTTATAAGTCCTAAGACTGATTGAACACGCACCTCCGCTCTTTCCTATCCTGAGATAATCTTGGCATTTCCCTAAAGCTAAAGCAACCCATAATCTTAACTATTTGCTAACAGTAATCTAACCTAGGTCTACCTCTACGCCTCCTAACTCCTGTTTCTGCCTCTGATATGTCTCTGACTAGCCCTTCATGCCTGAGAAGGTGTCCTACCAACCTATCTTGCCCACTTCTTATTGACTTCTATAGAGTCCTCTGTTCTCTTACTCTTTCTAATATCTTCTCATTTCTAACCTTCTCTATCCACGGTAGCCTCATCATTGGTCTGTAACCCTGCTTTCACACAGACGGTTTTCTAACGGTAACCGTGTCGTGCCGTGCCGTAATTTCATTCTGCTTTGCGTTCACACTGCACGCGGTTTTTCACTTCGGGTTTAGTTTTGTTTTGATACGTGACCAAAATGGACGAAAGAAAAAAACGCATGTTGTTATTAATGATATGGCATAATCGCAGAAAAACAAAAAAAACAAGAAGATTTTGGATTCATCCACTACTTGAAAACAGACAATTGATGGGTGAATTTGTAACATTATTTCGTGAGCTACGAGAGGATAATTCCAAATTTTTTAATTATTTTCGAATGTCCATGAGGAGATTCGATGAATTATGCGTAAAATTGCAGTTAGTACGCGAAGCTGAAATATTAATGGGGATTGCTGGAAAGTACAAGTAATAAAAGTTATTGATAGCGATAGAATTGAATACAAAACAATTTGAATACACTGTTCCAAATATTTTCACAGAGAATAATAATAATAGAAAGACAGANTCTGACTTTTGAGGTTTAATTTTCTATTGATATTAAGTTTTTTAATGGAGTAATTATCACAAAAAGAATTATGGATACATGGCAGACGAAATTAAATTATTTCTGATACATTTCGCTATATCAGGTATTGCAGCAGCTATTTCGAAGACTCTTATAAGTCCATTGGAACGAACGAAACTTATTTTACAAAATCAGGAGGCGTCTCATCAAATTTTGAAAAGTGATGTGCCGAAATACAAAGGAATTATCGACTGCTTGATAAGACTTCCTAAAGAACAGGTTTGGGAAACTTTTATATATGCTTTAAATGCTAGGTTAGAACAGAGTATCTTCATTAAAAAAGTTATGCGGCAGCTGTATCGAAGACCCTTATAAGTCCGCTGGAACGAACGAAGCTTATTTTACAAAATCAGGAGGCGTCTCATCAAATTTTGAAAAGTGATGTGCCGAAATACAAAGGAATTATCGACTGTTTGATACGACTTCCTAAAGAGCAGGTTTGAGAATCTTTCAAATGTATTTTAACCGAGACAGTGAATGTTTTTAGGGTTAAATTAAATGCATCAGTTAATTAATTTTTACCACTACAGATAACCTCAAATTAATGTTACTGTTATGTCATTAATTTAAGGTTATCTGTAGTGGGTAAATTTAATCAACAAATTAATTCACTAATATATTATATTTTATCTTTAGCAAATGTTAATAGGTACACCACTGCGTCTGAACTTTAAATTTCATAAAACAGCAAATTAGTTCAAAATGGGATCTTACATCCGTCAGTTATTTTCTATCATATAAAATATATATAAATATGTACAAACTAAAGTTTAATAATGTTAAAGAAAAATAATGTTTTAATATTATGCTTTTGGTAAAAGTTTATTTTACAAAACCCTCTGTGAAATTTCCCAAATTCAAATTAAAAATATCTCAAAAGGCTATAAAGGGTTGAAATGTCATAGGCGTAGCTAAGGGAGAAAACTTACTACCAATCCCCAACAAGAGACATAGCAACAGTGCAAGCCCGTGCAGTATATGGTGTTTCTGAAATAAGCTGTAAGCTTTTTAAGGGTGTTAACTACATGTAATGGGGAATCGCATGGTGAATAAAAAGTGTGATTAAGAGACAAAATTTGTAAGAATGCAACCCTAAATAAAGAAATCAAGGGGGTTACCGATATACAGGGAACGAACGTCCAATCCAGCGTCTAGAAAACAGGAAGTGCACCATTACGCTAGAAAAACATATGTCCATGCTCTTGTAGCGATACATCCTCAAGCACAGTCGGTAGAGTTTCTTATAAGAAAGTTAAATACATCACCCCATTAAACGCGCATCAGGTACAACAAACGGTCCAAATAGTTTGTTTACCGTGAATGATCAAAGCCAAAATAGGGGTGCAAATAATTTTATTGATGTAAAGTCAACATCAATCATTTTATATCAGAATATTTCCTACCCCATTTTGTTTCCCATCTTTTACATAGTGTAATAAGAGAGAAATAGAATCCATAGTTTCTTTAGCTTTGGGTTCATCTAATAAGTGAAGATTTTCGAATCGTTTTGGCTATACGTCTTCATTAGCATACCATAATATCTTCTAGTTTTCAGTTTTACACAGCTTGCGATTACCAATTCGATATTGTTTTGTGGGCTGTTTTGTCGTAATTCATGGAATTTCGTAGTTCCTTGCTAAAGGTACCCTAAGTGGTGATTTGGGAGGTGCTAATATCAATTTGGAACAAGAAAAGTTCCATGGAGCATGACATTGAACTCAGAAAACAATATCGATCCAATATTTTATATTATCTATTTTCAAGGAGTTTAGATTTTTTTTGGGCTCTCTTCAGTTAAACAATCAGAAGGCATTCATGGAATGTTTGTTTGTCCCATTTTTAAGCTTCTAGGTAATACTTTCAATGGCTAATGTGAGCAACTTTTATTCACCATTTTATATAAAATTTGATCGGTGATACTAGCAAAACATTTAACGGCAAAAATGGTATTTTGCATTTTATAAAAAGAAAATGCAAAATAAAAAATTACATTCTGGTTACATTGGGCAATCAATTTCACAGAGGATGTCGTAAACTCTAGCCACGGTATCAATGAAATAGGTAGTTTTATGTAGCATACTCGTAGTTCCACTTTTCTGTATGGAATCTAGATACCTGCTAGTCACTCAAAAATTAGAGAGTTAATTTTTTTCAGCAGAAGATCGCGTTATTAAAGATTCTTTTCAATAAACTGTACTATATCAAGTATTTATGGGACAAATGATAATAAAAATCTGACTTAAACCGGACCTTTCAGTCCATAAGATTTTGCTTTTTCTTTGTTTCCAACGTCAATGTAACTTTTTTGTTATATTTAAAGATTCTCAAATCATAAAATTAACGGACGAATTAGATAAACAAAGATTTTTTAATCATACTATTTTTGAGGAACAGACTCGTTTTCTACGTTTACCTAAGTAAAGTCTAAATGGTGATGGTTAATCCCACAATAGTAGTTGTTTATTAAGTGCTTCTACTAAATATTCACCTATTGGGACTTACCTCTGGGATACGGTAAAAAATTGGGAAAATAATTTTAAGACATGGTAGTCGCGTATGACGTCTTAAGGTTTTAATCCTTGTTCAGCATTTTGTTAGAGCGTGCATTTACCTAACCTTATCTTACATGGTAATACTTACCTTTTGTTTATGGTACTCTAGACAAAAATCGTTCCTAAAAATGTTTACTGTATGAGGTGGAGATAGATGAGCTAGGTTATCTCATAATGAGACAAGAGTTCGATGTAGCATTAAAAAACTCAAAGAATAATAAGGCGCCAGGTGTACATGGGATACAGGGGAAAACTCTAAAACATGCAGAACAAGAGGTTAGGGATCGTATGTTTAAGCTAATTAGTCATTTACGAGACGGGGAAAGTTCCAGAGGATTATAAACGGAACGTGGTAGTAACCATACCTAAAAAGAGAAGAGCGAGACATTTAGAACAATCAGCTTAACTTCCCATGCGTCAAAAATCTTAACTAGAATTGTACAGAGGAGGATGGAAAAAAGGGTGGAATAATATTAAGGGAAGATCATTTTGGGTTTAGACGAAATAGAGGAACGCGAGAGGCCATTCTAGCTTTAATGACAACAATAGAGAAAACGATAGAAAAAAGAAAGAGGGCGTACATAGGATTGGTAGATTTAGAAAAAGCTTTTGACAATGTTAAATGGGACAAGATGTTAAATATACTTAAAAATGTAGGGATGAGTTACAAAGACAGATGAGTAATACTTAGTTTTGTATTAAGAACAACAGGCAGTTATAGAGATGGTACTGGAACGTAGAGAAGTAAATATTACGAAGGGAGTCTGACAGAGATGCACACTGTCACCGCTACTTTTTAATCTATACATCGAAGATGCGATCAAGAGGTGTTGGCAAAACAGTATTGTATGAAAAAAAATAAAAATAAGTACTGATATGCAAGGCAAGGAAAAGTAGGGGAAAAGCGAATATAAAGGTAGGAGACGAAAAATAAGAAGAAGTGGCTGATTTAGGTACTTAGAAAGTCAGATAAGTCAAGACGAAACGAGTAGGATATTATAGCGCAGGGTCGAGTCGCCTTCAATAAAAAGAAGTCACTTCTATGCTTGCGAACGGTTAATTTGGAAATTCGAAAAAGGTTGTTAAAGGTGTATGTTTGGAGCGCGGCGCTGTACGGGTGCGATACACGGACAGTGGTCGCGACGGAAAAGAAAAGGTTGGAAGCGTTCGAAATGTGGTGTTACAGGCCAATGATGAGGCTACCGTGGATAGAAAAGGTTAGAAATGAAAAGATATTAGAAAGAGTAAGAAAACAGAGGACTCTATGGAAGCCAATAAGAAATAGGCGAGTTGGGTTAGTAGGACACCTTCTCAGGCATGAAGTTCTAGTCAGAGACATATTAGAGGCAGAAAGGGAAGTTAGGAGGAGTAGAGGAAGACCTGCATTAGATTACTGTTCGCAAATATTTAAGGATATGGGTTGTTCTAGTTTTAGGGAAATGCGAAGATTAGCTCAGGATAGGAAAGGGTGGGGGCGCGTGCCCAACCAGTCTTAGGATTGACGACTTTATAACGATGATAATGTATGAGGTTAGGTTAATTTACGTTACGATGGTCAGAATAAGTCAGCCAAAATACAAAATTTGGTAAGTTTTTACATTAATTGGCATTGCTATTTTTGAGTGGTTTTTGCAAAAATGAGGTAAATTGTTACATTGTACACGTGAGGTGTTTGTTGCTTTTACAGAAATGTGAAGTGGAAAATGTAATGGAAGGGGGGAAAGGGGAAGGGTATTTTTGCGGGTTTAGTGACGGAATTTGTTGCATTGTATTGTATATATTTGAAAATTATCAGCATAAACACCTCTACAATATATTAAAAATTGAACGTCATCCTATTTGCTGAAACAAAGATAATCTTGTGACATCATTCCAACATATTAGCCCGCCTCCGGCGGGTAGGAACATTAAAGAAACCCCAGTCTCTCATAAATATAACGTTACCAATGCATTTTTGGCGGGAACAGCTGACGAAGGGTTGGAGTCAGGACCATACCTAACCGAAATTTTCTCTGATTAACAAAACTTTAGCAGACTGTATCTCATGCCACATTGCTTTCCGCTTGGAATAAACAGTACCACACGGTTCTATTTGCTGAGTATTACCTATCTAACCTCACTTCACGTTTCAACTCGTCTGTCAACTAATGTAAAAAATGACCCAAAATTTCGCCACTTATCTGCAATGAAGTCACTTTAGTTGCAACCAAAGTGCTTCAAACAAATGTATACATCTATAGGGTTGCTAGTTTGTCATTCTTATCAGATGGCAACATCAACGCGTTTCTTATCTCTCAAATGCTGAACATGGAATGGAATGAGTGTTTAAAAGAATCATATCATTCTCACTAATAATAAATCATTGTTTTTAGAAAGCAGTAGTAGAAACGATTTTACGAAGCAGCAGCTCAACTATTTCTCGTTTGTTTCCAGGGTATTCTGAGTTATTGGAGAGGAAATGGGGCAAACATACTTCGTTACATGCCTTTACAAGCTCTCAATTTCTCCTTTTATAATATGTACTACGATATATTTCAAAGTTATCGTTGTGGTGATTTAATAAAAACATTTGGTCCCGGAGCTCTTGCAGGACTTAGCAGTATATCTGTTGTTTTTCCACTGCAATTCTGCACCACAAGATTAGCGGTGGATATAGGAACAGGTAAAACAAAAATTTATAAACAATTAAAGAAAACGAATGTAAAGTTTTAAAAATGTATACTGATTGTTCACAACAATTGTTTCACCATAACATTGACTTCTTCAGGTGAAAACATTTAGAATATACAATGTTATGGTGAAACAATTGTTGTGAACTTTACTTTTGTTTCCTTTAATTTATTATGGAGTTTCAACAAGTAAAGCCTCCCACCATTAATTATTTATAAACAGCAGTGGAATAATATAAGAACAAAGGCTTTCACGGTCGGAATCCATAGCAGAATGAAGATTCGGGCTATAGGGCCGTGTTCTAAGTGAACTGTTTTGTCCAGACGTTTCGTAAATGAGCTGAAAATAGCCATTGTTTGCCTATTCTGAGCGCAATTCTACAATTGAATTGATCACTTCATTCTATTCTAGTTCGAGATAAATAGTTTCTTATCAGAAAGATTTATTACCTTGCGTCCAACATATATAATTTTTAGATAGCGGAGTGAATGCACCAAAACGAGAATTTTATGGGTTAAGGCATTGCTTATCAACTGTCGCAAAGGCCCACGGAATTTTGGGGTTATATAGGGGATATATAGCCAGCGCAGTAGGCCTAACGATCTATCGAAGTGTTTATTTCGGACTCTACCAAACATATAAGCAATTTAGTAAATCATACTTTCAACAAGCTCACTGGGAGGGAGGCAGTTTTATAGCATTTCAATTGATGGTAGCCGAGGTAGGTAAAATTTATTTTCGTTTAAGATACAGTAAAATTATATACCTATAGGTATACAATGAAATAGGAAAAGTTTAAATAAATTTCTTAAAAATTCAATTATGAATTTTCCTGACAAAAATAGAAGTCCTATGACGATGCGTTTTTTAAATTGAAACCTCAATTTTTTTTGTTCCGTATTTGGAATGTATGTCCAATTTTGACTAACAATGAGTAAGGGGAAGTCGGGAAATTTCGGGCACCTAAGGAAATGTGCTCATAAAAAGTTCCTATCGTATCCGAAAACATTCATAATTTTACTACTGATTCCTACGAATATTTGACAATTGATCTACCACAAAACAGAAATGTAGTTTACCATTCTAAGTTAAAAAAAAAATACAACGTGTAATTATACAATACGCTACTAAAGTGAAACTTCTTCAAACACATACATACCGTGGGTAAAGAAGTTTCACTTCAAAAAACTACAAAAATTTGAAAATGCTACGAACTGTTAAACAGTATGGATACACATGTGTATTTTATTTTACTTTTTGCTTCCTTCTTGGTTGCGTTGGATGCCACACGTATAATTGACTGCAGCAGTACCAAATTTCCTTATCGCATTTAAATTCTCCACAAACCAAACACATACCATTGATTTGAATTGGGTCAACATCAATGAGAATCAACTGGATTTCATGAAAAGATTCAAATTTGGAGTCCCAAACTCAACTTTTCTTGCGTAAAGCCCGTTTCTTTTGTTTTTCTTCTTCTTCTGCATTATTCTCCTGCCCTCAAGTTTTTTCAAGACACAAATTCCTATGTATAGTACAGTCGAAATAAGAAGGCAAAGTCACCAATAAATAATACACACTAAAGGTATATCGTTTTTCTCGTTCTTACAAACGGAAGATATCTTGTCTTTATTCTCTAGACACGCCTCCTCCACAGCTGCGTCGATGCCTAAACCTACGTTTCATAAGAATCAATCGAATAGAATGAGACGGTTGAAAACGTGCTTGTCTTGTTGTCTGTACCTACATTAAATGAGCAAATTTACAGGATCGGCTTAAGGTAGTAGTCGTGCTACAGTATGGTGAAAAAGTTATTGTAAGATCTAAGATAATTCAATGCAATAATATTTATATAATTTCGATTGTACATTTTACAAAATAATACTTACGTCTGTTTTTAAGTTCCACCTTCTTTTCGTATCCGGGATACGGTTCTGCAGCTAATGTTCAAAACCTCCGCCGCTATGTTTATAACGGAGATTTTTTCTCAACTTGTTTCTTTCTTTCTTTGAAAATAATTAATAACATTCCAAACAAGTTTTCTACTCTAAAAATTTAAAACTTCTTGGACCATTTCGTTGGAAGTTAACAACAAAAATAACAATAAAAACAACAACAACAACAATAACAATAACACCAACAGAAACAACGACAACAATAGTTACAACGAAAAAATAATTTAAACGATACATGTAGAGAGATGGCTATTCGCACAAATACACCAACTAAATTAAGCCGACCCTGTAAGTTTGCCCATTTTATGTAGGTACCAATGACAAGACAAGCATGTTGTCGAACGTCTCATTTTATTCGATTGATTCTTATGAAACGTAGGTGCAGGTCTCGACGCAGCTGTGGAGGAGGCGTGTTTAGAGAGTAAAGACAGGATATCTTCCGTTTGTAAGAAGGAGAAAAACGATATGCCTTTAGTGTGCATTATTTATTGGGGACTTTACCTTCTTATTTCGACTATAATATAAGTCATTCCGCTCAGCTCGCCATTACACCGACCGAGTTGCGCGGGATTCCCCCTATAAATAAATATATGCGTTCACCACCATGTGAAGATCACATAGAATTTACATAAGAATCGCAAAAATTAAGCGTACATCTACCGCATCCAAACAAAGAGTACCACTGCAACACACGTACGAGCAATATTACGAGATGACATCATATGTTCCTGACTAATTCCCAGCTATCCTGAAATGATCGGTGTTAATTACCCGTGGCGCGGAATTTACCCGCTTTCCCCAATTTCTTCAAAAGCACTCCTGTCAAAACAATTATAGAGTAAAACTTAAAATAAACCGAAAAATTGAAAAGCAAGAGGTGATGGTTTTATTTATTTAATTCATAAAAATCAGTTTAAAAATGCGCAATTAGAATGAGAACCAACCAATTCTCTTTTTCGAATGTTTTAGCTGTTAATTTATTTCAAAATGTTTAACAATATCTCAAGTCTTTTGTTCTCAGTACTTACACATGCCAAATATCTTGTATTTTTGAAATACTGCATTAATTTAAGACCATTACCACGATTGCTGCTTATACATCCTATCCATTTGATACTGCCGGAAGAAGAATGATGCTTGAGGCAACTAAGCCAATAGAATACCGACAAATCAAGAATTTGAGACACTCGTTTTATGTAATTTACATGAAAGAAGGCATAAAGGGCTTCTATAAGGTAATTAAATAAATTACACACCTTGATTCAACCTATTAAAGCTCAAAATAACGAAGTCAGTAACAGTCTAAAAAAAAACTACTAAAATAATCAAACAACTTGAAGAAGACGCACTACGCACAATGTAGTGTCATCATCATTATAAGGTCGTCAGTCCTAAGACTGGTTGGACACGCACCTGCACTCTTTCCTATCCCGAGTTAAACTTCGCATTTCCCTAAAACTAGAACAACCCACATCCTTAACTGTTCGTGAACAGTGATCTAACCTAGATCCACCTCTCCCCTCTGAACTCCTGTTTCTGCCTCTAATATGTCTCTGACTAGACTTTCATGCCTAAGAAACTTTCCTACCAACCTATCTCGCCAATTTTTTTTTTGACATCCATAGAGTTGTCTGTTCTCTTATTCTTTCTAATACCTCTTCATTTCTAACCTTTTCTACCCAGGTTATCCTCATCATTCGCCTATAACACTCCATTTCGAAAGCTTCTAACCTTTTCCTTCCCGTCGCGCCCACTATCCATGATTCGCACCCAAACATACACCTTTAACAACCTTTTTCAAATTACTAAATTAACCGTTCGCGAACATAGAAGTGACTTCTTTTTATTCAAGGCAACTCGATCCTGCGCTATCCTCTGCTTTATATCCCTACTACTCCTTCCGTCCTGACTTATCTGACTTCCTAAATATCTAAAATCAGTCACTTCTTTTAATTTTTCGTCTCCTATCTTTATATTTGCTCTTTCCCTACTTCTCTTTCCCTTGCATATCAACATTTCTGTTTTACTTTTATTTATTTTCATACTTTACTGTTTTGGCAATAGCGCTTCCATTTATTTAAGGCTATCTCTAAATCACCTAAGATATTTTAAATTAGGTTTTGCATATCTAACAATCTATATATCACGTGTAAAATAATGCACCCGTTACAAAAACAGCTTATGAAGTCACTCCATTGAAAGGAAAGAAATTGAGACCGGAATTTCCGGCATAGTTGGAAGAATAGCAATTCAATCGAAAAAGAGTTTTGTTTTAGGTGGGGCTAATTAAATAGTATTAGAAAAAGAACTGAGAGAAATCGCTTTGTGAGTATATTTCCATGTTCGCAACGCATTATCATTGTAGATTTTGTTAATGAAACTACTTAAACATATAAACATTTACTCTATTTTAAATAATTCGACGCTGAAATAAGCATTATACTCGGTATCTGCACTTTTTACTCTGAAGAGATCGCAATCTGTTAATTTATTTTGACATCGGTCTAAATTCGACACCTGAGCCTAACATATTTCTGTATTTATCTGTTCGATTCAATTTTTTAAAAGGTTTATATTTTATATCTATTTTGCTGTAGATATAATCTATTATATTGTCTTGCCATGATCCTTTGATCTTTAGAGTTTCAGTTATTCTTGTCAAATGATTAATTTTTAAATTGCATGATTCAATGGTCTAAAAATAATCGTAACACCAACTGTAATAATAAATTATTCGTANGCAATGAGCTGGACCCAGAAGGATGGGGTTGGAAATTAACAGATAATTATTTGGAGCCAATTCAAACTTTACTCCCGTCTGCTCCAGAAAAACTGCTTAATACTGTTTTTTATAAATGCAAGACGGATTGTAGTAAGAATTGTGGCTGTCAAAAGGTGGGTGTTAAGAACTTTAATATAGATATATAGATTCTTTTTATTTTGTTTAAATTCTTTTCTAAAATTATCATTCATAGTATTATTATTATTATTATTATAGCCAACAGTTGAAAGCAGGTAATATGTATTCGTATCCATGGAAACATGAATCTCATTATCTTGGGGGTTTCCAGATGTACTTAAGTATTTTTGTAACCGATCGGTCAAACCCTCTAGAAATTAGAAATCAGAGATATAGCAACTGACCTTTCCACGGTGCACACCACTTTTTACTTACCTGCTTTATACAGTTGCTACAAAATATAATATAGTTGTTGACGAAACTTCTCCGAAGGATTTTATCAATAAACGTGTTCTAAGTTACTAGTGTCCGTTTTATTTTATTATAAGTGGCAACAACTAAAAAGCGAATCCTTTTTTTTGTGTTGCAAATTGCCAACGTGCAATTCATCGCTAACAGTGGGATTATTTTGTTCGCCAGTATACATCAATTGTCAGGGTCAGACTTGCTCCAATATTGAAACAAATACAACAGATAACAATATTTATGATATTAATGAAGAGACAATTGATGCATCCCTTTTCTTAGAACAGCGAATAGAAATTCTGCAAAAAGAAAATGAAGACGATGAAATAATTGTCGAAGTAGAATTAGACAATTATTTAATATAATAACATTGAGAAGAAAACCACCTATTCCACTTTGATCATTAGCAATATTACCATTTTTTCAATCAATAGGATACGATCTGATCAAACTTTCTTAATGACAATAGATCGTGGAGTATACCTACTGGGGAAACCACGTTAAAATAAAATGCGCCAAGTACATTACCTCATAGGTGTGCATATTATGTAAAATATTAATTTTCTAATGTTTAAAACCGCGATATCTCACGAATGGTGAGTGGTAAGTGAAAAAATGACTGAACTATTTTTGTAGAGAATTGTATGATCTACAACGTTTGTCTGACCTATTTTCACGATAAAACTTACCGTTTTCCATAAAAATGGGAAAAACCTTAATTTTTGCACTTTTGACCTTTAATAAAATTTTTTGCAAAAGTACGATCGAAGGAGACTTTTGACATTTTATTTATAATGACGTATTTAACGTCTCTGCCAATTTTCGGCTCCATGCGAATTTTGGCTAAGTTATGACTTATTTTGACTGGACTACAATAATTTAGTCTAAGTCTTCCTCTATCCCTCATTACTCCTGCTTTTACTTTTCTCTATCTAGCCTTTTATATGTCTCTTTTCTTTACTGGCTTCAATAGCGTCATTTGTTCTCCTCTTTCAAAAACATCCTCATTTCTAAACTTCTACCTCCACAGTTTTTATCATCATCATTCTATAACACCAAGCACTTCTAGCCTTTCTTTTGTAATTGACATGAAACATGACATGACACATAGCTGGCACATTTTTTCACATATATCTGCGTAGGTTATAATCATACAAAAAAAAGTAAAATCGTAATATGTAGTAGCAATTCGAATTTAACTACCTACTGAGATGCTTCACATATTTTTTTGGTTCTTTGTCGGACGGTATACATATGCGTTTTCATAATTCCATAATTTATGGGTATTGTATTTTTATGTACAAATTGTCAAACGAAAAATGAAAATTACAAACGTCTGACTTTTGAGGTTTAATTTTCTATTGATATTAAGTTTTTTAATGGAGTAATTATCACAAAAAGAATTATGGATACATGGCAGACGAAATTAAATTATTTCTGATACATTTCGCTATATCAGGTATTGCAGCAGCTATTTCGAAGACTCTTATAAGTCCATTGGAACGAACGAAACTTATTTTACAAAATCAGGAGGCGTCTCATCAAATTTTGAAAAGTGATGTGCCGAAATACAAAGGAATTATCGACTGCTTGATAAGACTTCCTAAAGAACAGGTTTGGGAAACTTTTATATATGCTTTAAATGCTAGGTTAGAACAGAGTATCTTCATTAAAAAAGTTAATTTGTCAGAAATCCGTTTTGTGTACAAGCCCAGGCAGGGTCGGACTGGCTAGTGTTGACCTTCAATGACATTAGAAGAAATTATGCCCGCCAAAAGAAAAAACAATAACTAATTAAATTTATGCGTTTTAAATCCATAATCTNAAAATTAATAGAAAACAAATTATAATTTCAGGAGCTTTGACAATTTTTGAGAACTCGTAGCGACGCTTAACTACTTTTTTGTGATTATAACTGAAATGTCTTTCAATAAAAAATAAAACAAAAGCGTCTAACAAAACTAACATATCTTGACTAAGAGTCGATCTTAACCTAGCTTTTATAAATCTTAAGCGTGAGAAAGAAGATCCTCTCACATGAAAATTCATGCTAATGTTAACATGCGGTAATACGGGCCAGTCCGGCCCTGAGCACAGGTTTAAAAGTTTTTAGATAAAAATGGTCTGTGCAACAAGCTGGAAGGTGATACATTTTGGTAAGCGTGAAACTGGTCACGAGCACGAGACAAAATAAGGTTAGCTCTGATGCAAACACAGCATATATTTACTATACCTAAGAACTGATCTACGATTATTTAAAAAGATAAGCAACTAATCATCATCATAATAAGGTTGTCAGTCCTAAGACTGGTTGGACACGTACCTCCACTCTTTCCTATTCTGAGCTAAACTTCGCATTTCCCTAAAACTAGAACAACCCACATCCTTAACTATTTGCGAACAGTAATCTAACCTAACAACTAATATGAAATAGAAAATTGCAAATTCATAAAGCAGCATTTCAAAATATTACAGTAGGGGATATTGTCATATATTCTATCTTTATAATTTGCTATAGTTTTCTGTTAAGAAAATATGCTATTATCAAGTGAGTTCTCTGATCCTTTAGTTTTGAGTGATTCATAATATGCATTTATGCACGGTGCAGGTAAATCGAAAATCGACTACCTGATTTAGATGAGAACCGAGCCTAGAGTTGTACGCATCGGAGGGGTCCTTTTCACATTTGTACATTTCTGCTTTTACTGTATTTACTCTATTACATTAAAAATAAAGTTCTCGTTTGGTTCCTGCACCTACATAAGTATTTCTATCTGGATAAACCTTAACATTTTCAAAGATTTTTATTTGACAGTATGCAGTTTACGACATCTCTACAATTGACTTCCTAAGTGCTGCTGCCACGTTTCTATTTTGACGGACATGGTCAGCATCATTAGGTTACCCTATAGATAGAGACCCCTTCATTTCGTTCTTATTTAGTGCAGTCATTTGGAAGTTTTGTCTGGAAAGTTTTCCAGGAGTTTTGAAAATTGGTAATTTTATAGATTTTGAGGTGCTCATTCCGAATTTCAACTTTGCCACCCCGTATATTTGTTGCTCGCACAGCCATATTGGAAAAATGGCGCCTAAATGCAGCTTTTTGGCAATATCTCCTTTCCAACTCATTTTACGATAAAAACAGTTATATACAAAATGAAACTAGGGACAATTGCCTACAATTTTTGTATCTACCTTTCTTTCAATAAAGTCAATAGTTTTGGAGTATGAGCGCCGCAAAGTGTACTCCAACGCGTGTTTTGGTAGAGCTCAATAGAAATATTTAGTCTGAGTCATCAGTAGAGTTCGGAATATATGCACTAAAAAATAGCAAATATATGCATGCAAATATGCTTTAAAAATCGTCAAAATGTGCATTATTATATGCATTAATATGCATTTAAATTTTAAATAAAACAATGAAATTCTGTATTTGTTTAAATTACAATAGCATAACTTACAAAAAAAAAAAACGAACGTTATCTTCAGACATACTATAACAATATAAAAGTAAATGTTTTTCTATTTGATAAAAAATATGAGGATACCACGTTAAATAAAACGCGCCGCTTACTCTACCTCAAGGTGGTGTGGAAATGAGTTTTTTTTTGGCCAAAATGCGCGTTGGAGTACACTTTGCGGCGCTAGTACGCCTAAACTATTAATTTTATGAAAAAAAGGTAGATACATAAATTGTAGGTAATTGTCTCTAGTTTTATTTTGTATACAACTGTTTTTATCGTAAAATGAGTCGGAAAGGAGATATTGCCAAAAAACTGCTTTTTGGCGTCATTTTTCCAATATGGCGGCGCGAGCGGCAAAAATACGAGGTGGCAAAGTCGAAATTCGGAAATAGCACATCAAAATCTATAAAATTACCAATTTTCAAAACTCCCGGAAAACTTTCCAGGTAACCACTATTTTTCGAACCAAATGACTGTTCCTACTAATTGTCATGGTGACATTTTTTTTTGTTGGATAGATAGCAATAAATTACACTTATACAAAACTATTATTTCTAATTATACTTATGGATTGCTTGGTTTCTTCGAAAGTGGAGAGAGTATGAGCATCTTCTGTGCGTTAATTGATGTTTGATATTCCAAGTAGTTGCTGTTGGTTTTTGGAAGCTGTTTCTGCATTATTGAGCAAACATCCAGCATATTGTAATGTTCGTGGGTTTGACAAATTAAACTTTTAAGACTCACAACGACAAAAACTATTCATTTACACTAATTATTATTGAACTTAAAAACACTATTAAATTATATATAACTAAGTTAGGTGATAAATTACTCTATTTATTTACAGTACTGTTACTAAATCACTATTCACTGCGCTGTCAATTTATTTCTAGATTCACTTCTGCAACGGTCAATTTATTTCTACCCTTCTTCGGCGATCGTCTCTTCCTTTTTATACTCCCTTGCCTCCTTTCGAGAACATTCTCCAGCCGTCCAGAGAAGTCTCGTTTTCTTTGAACGGTTTAATTGCTTTCCCGGAACGCAGGTACGACACACACGTTTACAGATACGGCGCACATGAAGAAAAGCGCCCGCGGCTAGTCGGCGAATCGATAAGCCGCTTACACGCACGTATGCCCGATAGCACACAATCACCCTCGTGGTCGCTACAATATTTTTCTAACAATTTTAATAATGTGTGGCATCAGTGGATCGCATCTAAAATCCATTCGGCATCTTGCTTGAAACAGTCACGCTAGTTAGCTTCTGAAAGGCAAAAGGAGAATCATCTTTACGTATACTAGTAGTCAAATCACTTACAATTTGTTTCCAGGGCGTATTGAGTTATTGGAGAGGAAATGGGGCAAATATCACGCGCTACATACCATTACAAGCTCTCAACTTCTCCTTTTATAATATGTACTACGATATCTTTGCGAGCTATTGTTGTGCTGATTTGGCAAAAACATTTGGAGCCGGTGCTCTTGCAGGACTCAGCAGTATAACTGTAGTTTTTCCATTAGACTTCTGTACTACAAGGCTAGCAGTGGACATAGGATCAGGTACTTGTTATACAGTATATTTACAATGTGTTATTGCACTGTAGCTATTACTACTGGATTAGAATATAGGATTAACCCCTTAATAGCGGCCACTGGAAAATGCTGACAAATTATTTGACCGTTTAAGTAAGTATGTCTAATATGCCGCGATTTCGGAATGTGGCAGTGCTATATACGAGGTATGTTTAAAAAGTATCGCGAATTACTGTGACTTTTGGTGAAGCTACCTTTGACCGAAGCAACGTTTATCGGTACTACAAAATGTTTTCAGAGGGCCGAGAAGATGCCAGATGCATTGGTCAATCGTCGAATCACCCTTAGAGAAGTTACTGAAGACTTAAACATATCGATTTGCTCCTGCCATTCGATTTGTACCAATGATTTGGGCATGAGACGGGTTGCAGCGAAATTTGTACTAAAATTGCTCAATTTCGACAAAAAACAGCATCGCATTAACATTGTTAAGGAGCTGTTGGACTCTGTCCGCGACGACTCAAATTTGCTCCAGAGGGTCATAACTGATAACGAATCATGAGTTTATGGTTAAGATGTGGAAACCAAAGCTCAATCATCCCAATGGATGAAGACCGAAAAAGCGTGCCTTGTTAGGTCGAATGTGAAGGTTTTGCTTACAGTTTTCTTGCAATTGCAGGGGCGTGGTGCATCATGGGTTCTTGTCACATAGCAGAACGGTCAATAAAGAATATTACCTGCATGTTACGCGCAATTTGCGCGAAGTAATCCGCCAGAAATGTCCGGATTTGTAGAAGAACAAAAATCGATTTTTGCACCATGATAATGCCATTGCTCACACATCGTTGCTTCTGCTCTAATTTTTAGCCCAAAACAACACACTAATAATGCCGCAGCCATCGCTTTTCCTAGATCTGGCCCCCATGACTTTTTCTTGTTCCCGAAACTGAAGAGACCCATAATAAGAGATCGAAGGAGGAGTTGAAGAAGATCACAAGAAATGATTTTTGGAAGTGTTCCGAGGATTGAAAAAAAAACATTGGCACAAGTGTATATCTGGTGAGGATTATCTTGAAGAGGACAAAATATGTATTCATGAATATATAAATAATTTTTGGAAAAACACAAAATTCGCGATACCTTTTGAACAGATCTCGTACACATGCACTTGGTGTTTCTCCCAACGAGTAAATCATTTCGGAAATTATCCTAATGCCTCTTACATGGATCATCTTGAACGATGTATCTGTACCTGCTGTTTTGATAATGCTATTAGGCGTTGACTGTGCTGCTGATATCATCTCGGACTGTCACGTAAACTGAGACATTTGCTCTTTTTATATTGCAATCAGTTAGGGTTTTCTATCTTTGTTCGCTTTCGTTCCGTCATCTTGTACGCTTTCAGATCCTCTAGTTCGGATTCCCTACACTGACGGTGGAATCTATCATTCTCTATTACCTTAAATAATTTGACACAATATTGGATTTAAAAACTGCACAAGAACGTATCCCACTCCTGATGATATTTGTTAACTTTTACTTCGATAATAAATAAGAAAAACTCCTCAATCTCTCATATTTTCGGCAATTGACTTAATCATCAGTATCATAAGGTCGTCAGTTCTAAGAATAGTTGAACATGCACCTCCACTCTTTCGTAACCTGAGATAATCTTCGCATTTCCCTAAAACCAGAACAACCCACATCCTTAACTACTTGCGAATAGTCTACCTCGAACAAAATAATTCGAAGTGGTCTGTATTCTGTCGAAACTGCCAGACGCGGATCGCGATTTCGATCTTTTTGGACCTCATCAGCGCGTCGCAGGCAGCTTCGACAGAACACAGACCAACCTTTACCTGCTGTCTTAACAGCGCGTTTTAGAAAATATCATAAATGGCGTGGTGGGCGCCATCTGTAGTACGATGCTACATTTTAGGTTACGTATGCTCCAACAAGGTCCATTTAAAAATATGGATATCTACTTGCTGAAACGAATCCCGGCGTAGTTCACCTCAACGTGATAGGCACGTTACCATAATCGAACAAGACCACTTCGAATTATACCGAGCGGCATGACCTAGAGGTCTAGATCATTGCTTAGCATTCGATTCCGGGTCCGTCTGCTTTGGTCCAAGTTTTTCTGTGGTTTCCTTGGATCACTTAGGCAAATGCTGAGGCACTAATATTCTACAGATAATCTTTCATTCTCTTCTGTCTTCATTTCGTCCGTCTCATCTTTCTCACCCGAACCACCACCCACCCATTCCCACGATTCCTGAAAGCAGGCTGAAGAGGACCTTCCGCCCTACCTTCCGGTGTAGGCCGGAGGGACTGCCCGCCCACCAGCATTACTGGCTGGTGGGAATGAAACACCCAAAAGTTTTTTTTTTAAGTTTTTTCCTTCATGCCTGAGAAGGTGTCCTACCAACCTATCTCGCCTATTTCTTATTGACTTCCATAGAAACCTCTGTTCTCCTATTCTTTCTAATACTTCATCATTTTTAACCTTCTTTATCCATGGTATCCTTATTATTCGTCTGTAACACCACATTTTGAACGTTTCTAACCTTTTCTTTTCCGCCGCGTCCACTGTCTATGTTTCGTCCCCGTACGACGCCGTGCTCCAAACACACACCTTTAACAACCTTTTTCGAATTTCTAAATTAACCGTTCGCGAGCATGGAAGTGACTTCTTTTTCTTGAAGACAACTCGACCCTCCGCTATACTCTGCTTTCTATTGACATAATACCTAACAATAATTACAACAGCAACATTGTTTTATAACTACAACAGGATTGCTAAAATCTAAATGTTAAGGATATTTTACAAATTGATAAGGATACCAAGCGGATAAAACAGCTAGTGTTTAATATAATTTAATAATAGATATAATATTTCCTGTGGTGAGCACAAGTATAGCAGATTGAATAGGAGTAAGCAGATTTTTACACATTTCCTCAGATCACGGAACGAACTCACCGAAGCGAGAATTTTACGGATTAAGACATTGCTTGTCATCTGTGATAAAAACTGATGGAGTTCTGGGATTATATAAGGGATATACAGCTAGCGCAGTGGGCTTAACGATCTATCGAAGTGTCTATTTCGGCCTTTACGAAAGTTATAAGCAAAAATTTAGTAGATCTTACTTCCAGGAAAGTAAATGGGAAGGAAGCAGTTACGTGGCATTTCAAATGCTTGTAGCCCAGGTAAAATGATAAAAAAAAAAAATTAAAAATAGCTTTTATTTTCAAATGAACTAAAAAGTAAAAAATGTTGAGAGGGGAAACCGCTTTCGAAAGAGTGTACACTATAAATGCCTTTTATGGAAATAATCCCCATAATCTATAAATAATTTCTATTGCTTCAAATAAATTCCCCTATACATTTATAAATCTCATTTATTCTGGCATACATCCCATAAATACTTGTAATTCCATAATAATTCCTGCAATAAATAAATAAATGAGGGTTTTGTTATAATAAATCCCTTTAATTCCTCAATGTAAAAGTAAATCTCTACAACTCTTGCAATTCAGACAGGGTGTACACCATAAATCCCTTGCGGTTTCCCCCTCGAAGAGTGTTTAACTCAATACCTGCAAAATCTATGTTCCTGTCAATTTTTATGTAGATCAATGTATAAGTACAGAGTACAGAATTTCTGTTTTTAATTTTATTATTCTGTTTTACATCGTGCATGTATTTTTTTTTACCGTAAATTAAAGTGACTAATTTAAGGTCGTTACCACGATTGCTGCTTGGGTATCATATCCTTTTGACACTGCAGGAAGGAGAATGATGCTTGAAGCAAGTAAACCTCAAGAATATCGACAAATCAAAAATATAAACGATTCCTTTTTATTGATTTACAAGAACGAGGGAATATATGGCTTCTATAAGGTAATTTTCAAAGATTCAATACAACGAAATCAATTAACGCAGCTGGGTAGGAGGGCACGGATGGTCAGTTCAAATCCTACAGCACTCGTTGCCTACCCCAGAAATATCAATATCTAAACAATTGAATAAACATTCTGTTTTTGTTATTCTTTTGATAGCAAAAAACTCGAGGTGGCTACAGCCTCCATGCGCGAAAAAAGAATAAAATGGATGATCTAAATCGTCGTTTCAGCACGAAATTCGACGATATATGACATTTTCATGAACCTATCTAAACTTGTCTCTCTGCGGTAGTCCACCAAAAAACTCGAGGTGGCTACAGCCTCCATGCGCGAAAAACAACGACGATTTATGACATTTTCATGAACCTAGCTTGACGCGTTTGTTATTTTTTTTAATATCAAATATTCTATATAGCTAAAGTTCACCTTTTATATTAAATTTAGTTGCATCATCTTTCTTTCTATAATACTGCACAGGTTGCGTGAAGAGAGTGAATAATACTGTTCTCCATGTACGAGGTATCATCTATCAATTTATGCATCTCTCATTCAATTCCATCGCTACTTCCGAAATTTGTAAAAGAAGTTATTTAATCTCTAATCTAGTGATGTGCAAAGCAAGTATTGGTTTTAGTCTTTGTCTTGCTCAAATACTTCTAGTCTTGATCTTGGTTTTGATCTTGCTCATATAGTCTAGTCTTGGTTTTGGTATTGATGATATAGTCTCCTTCTTAATCTTGGTCTTGCGTGTTAAGCCTTGGTCTTCCTTATTTAATCTGATAGGTTTTTTTTAAATCATTTTTCTAAGCACAAATTTTTCTAGGTATTTACCGACACAATAATTGTCTTAAATGCTAAAATTTACTTTTATACATCATGTTGTATTTCTTCTGTATTTTTGTATCTATGTAGTGTTTGTTATTTGTTAGATTAGATTAAGTGTGATTGGCGAGATTTATGCTATAACCACCTTACAACCTTACATCAGAGCCAGGCAAACTTTAACTTTGTAGGAGCCCGTACCTGAGGTTAGTTTGATTCACTCCATACCCTACAATGAGTACGAGAGAGTAAGCAGTAATGACCCATATTGCTTTCTCTTTTTCTTCTCCCTTCCACTCCCATATCAAGCCCCTTCATTCCGTAGACGAGCGAAGCCTCTCGCGCAACTTAAATAATACCTACGACAATTTTCGTTACTACGTTCGCAATACTATTGGGCTTGACTATGGGAGAGGGGACTCACCTACGAAACGGAACGGATAAGAAAAGGAAAGAATCATCTCACTCGCACTCGCAGGATCAATGAGAAGCTCCTTGGCTATACCTGAGGAGCTCTCGGTAGTCAATAGAGCCGAGTTTGCCCGGGTCTGCCTTACATCATCATGTCTGTATTAGTAATGTAGTAAAAAGCTGTTGTTATTTACAATGTACAACCGGCACTACTTACATTCTCCACCGATATAGCTGCTTAGTTGTTATCGTAACTCGCTTTACTAATACCTGTGTTGCCAGGACCGGCTTTGGATTGAAATTTCTTCAGGTTTTTTGTCTTTTAATCACTCTTATTCACCATCCGATGTATTATTGCGTCTAGTTAACACCTTACAATACTTCCTACTTATTTAAAAAACAACCTATATATTATATTTTACAATTGTTGTATAATATTATTGAAGACTTGCAGAAGATAAAGACCAATGCGTGTCTGATCTAGATCCTAGACTAAGTACAAAATCAGTACCCTCAGTAATTATAATGAAAAAGGCTAGATTAAAGGTGCAAGACAGAGACCAGAACTCAGATGGTCCATGTTTTGCCATTGACCTTAATTTACTGATCAGTCATTTTACGTAATACGCCTGTTTTACAGGGTGCTTTGGCCAACATTATGAGATCATCGGGAAGTGCCTTGGTTTTGGTTCTTTACGACGAAATCCTTTATCACAGCCCATTACGCGACATCGCAGCAGATAAAAAATATCAGAGGATGCAAAAAAATCTGTTGTCTTGTAAATGAATATCGTAATCCTATGTTTAAGATAATATGTACATACAAAACATGTAAAAACATTTAGTATATATATATATTAATATATTCTTTGAATTCATTTAGTGTTTCAGTTTAACTTTAATTTTTTTCTTTTGGTCGTTAGAGATTTTATTATATTGGAAATTTCCATAATTTCAAATGCATAAAAGGTGGTCAAAGATCTCTTGAATGTTCTTTTGCAAACAACAATGGGCCCATTTGGTCCCAATGGTCAGGTTCTGCGAAGGTCTCCGACGGCAACCACCTTTGTTACTTTTATTATCGATGTGAATAGATGGTAATCAGCGCGTTCTCACACCTCACAACTAATTTCCAATAATGTGCAAACTAGACTACCTATTTCTTGTACAGTATATAAGCTTTGTTTTAGCCTCCCCAATTAATTAATGTATCGCAGTTCACGTGCATGGCATATTGCTGTAATACTTAATTCGCGAACGGCAAGTTTTTCTACTCTTAGTCTATAATTATAATAATTTTGGGTAAATGTCTAGATGATGGCGTAAGTGGGATCGAAGAGGAGGTCCCCCCCACCACTGTACCATAAAAAGTTCGTGGCGGTCTCACCCCCATAAAAAGTTATGGGGGTTAGATGGGGATAGGGGTAGGGTGGATTGAAAGAGGGTAGGGGGGATCGAAAGAGAGTGGTCACCTTAGTCGGTGTCACCCCCATAAATACTTTGCGGCGGTGTCACCCCCATAAAAAATTTGCGGCGGTGTCACCCCCATAAAAAGTTATGGGGGTTGAAAGTTGATTATTTTGATAATTTTCATACACTATAATTCAAATAAAATTCAATAAAAAAAAATATTTTCAAGCGGGTGGGGGTGGGGGATCGAAAGAGGGTGGTCACTTGAACAAAACCCGATAATCTAACCTAACCTAACCTAACCTTCCCTATTGATAAAGATATTTAAATAATGTTTTATATAACTTTCTCAATATTTTTATGTATTTTTCATTAGTTTTACCTTTGAAAATTGTTTAATAATGACTACATAAATATTTACATGTCCAGAAATGTATAAAAATTGGCATATTTATTAACTTTGAACCCCCATAACTTTTTATGGGGGTGAGACCGCCACAAATTTTTTATGATACAGTGGTGGGGGAGACCTCCTCTTTTGATCCCCCCTTCGGGGTGGGGGCCATCATCTAGACCTTTACCTAATTTTGAGGTTTTTCCTAATAAAGTGTAAATACAAATTCTTGGTACCTTTTTAAAAAGAGAAACTTCCAACTTCGTTCGTTAACTTGCTATTCAATTATATGGCGGTTACAGGAATTTCATAACTCAAGGCAGGGTCATACCTTTTTGGGGTTTTCCCGTTGTTGACTTTTGGCTCGTATTTTTTGTTTTGTTGCATATCAGGTATTGGTGGTGACACCAGAACAATTTCTGATTTTGTCATATAATTTAGAGTTAGTTACGTTTTGACCTTCTTCTTGTGTAAAATTAGGATTAAATACGAATTCAATAAACCACTTTAACTTACGCGGGTCATCGCATAGCAGTCCGAAACGGCATATAGCAGGCAGACACATCGCAAAAACATGAAAAAAATACCGAAGTTACTGTTTTACATAAAGAAAAGGGGGTAAATGGTAACTCACCGGGGGAATTGCATCCCCCATGCAGTCCTTTAATAAAAAGCCCATCTTTCCATATCAGATATATATATCAAACAATAATCTTCAGAAATGTACATTTCCACCTGAAACGAGTAGAGGCTCCCCTGGACGCCTGACTACCGCGCTAGTAGTCAGCATCCCAATGATTTGGTGTGAGAACACCAAATCATGTCAACCGGGCGCATGTAGGGCCCCTCACCTATATGTCACTGCTCCGGAGGAACCACATCCCCAGAGAAGACGGGATTTGCGCGCCGGGGGCTTGCACCACACAGATGCATAAAGTACCACACAGGTAAAACAACGCAGTTGCACCACACAGGTGCTGAATAGAAGCGTACACTTAAAGCAATTGCAAAACAGTACTGCACACAGGCCTGGCCAAAACAAAACTGATTCAAAATAAGACAAAATATATCCGTGCCTGTCCGGCTACTCACCTTCATGAAAAAAGGTCATATTTCAAATCATAACACCGACAAACGGATAAAGATATATTAGTTAGATAAAATAAAATTACAATTCCACCAATAATAATAAAAATAATAAATTACTCCAAAACGTAAATTATTGTTACACTTGTTAACTTGCATGTATGTAGTTGTAATCCGTTATTTCATAATATATAATTCGTTTGTAAATAAAGTCTGCATATGGTGTTTTATATCGAGTTTCATTCGCTCCGTTATATCCAACAGTATGAAATAGATAAAAGTAAAACAAAAGTGTTGGTATACAAGGGAAGAAAAAGTAGGGAAAGAGTGAATATAAAGTGGCTGATTGTCGGTATCTACAGCAGTAAAAATATAAAACGATGCATAGCGTAGGGTTGAGCCGCCTTTAAATAAAAAGTCACTTCTATGCTCTTGAATGGTTAATTTACAAATTCCAAAAAGATTGATAAAGAAGCGTTCGAACTGTGGTGTTATATGCTTGACGAACGGTTCTGTACGGGTGCGAAACGTGAACTTTGGACGTAAAGGAAAAGAAAAGGTTAGGTTAGGTTATGAATGAGATATTAGAAAGAGTAAGAGAACCGGGGACTCTATGGAAGTCAATAATAAATAGGCGAGATAGGTTAGTAGGACATCTTCTCAGGCATGAAGGTCTAGTCAGAGATATATTAGAGGTAGAAACAGGAGTTAAGGGGAGTATAATAGTTTTCGTGCAATTCGAGGATTTGCTCAAGATAGGAAGAGTAGGTGTCTGTTAATCCGGTATTAGAGTTGAGGAGTGGATAATGATAATGATGATTGCACCCTTCTTGTTGTGTTTAATAATTTATTTTTCAGGAAAACGACATGAAATGTACATGCAAGATAAAACGGTAAGTATCTTATTTTTACAGAAATTGGATTCAAAAATTAATGCGTGTACACATACATATTACATACAATATTGCATTTATATTTTACGTATTGGTATGTAAATCTAATATCCTTTATTAAGTATTTTGGAAAGCTTAACTATGGAATCTGGAACAAAAATTATTGCAAAAAAATAACATAATTAGAAACAACAATGAATTACACTAACCATATTTCAATATTTAACGCCTTTTGTGGTCGTATGCATCATTATGTACGAGATCAGCTGATCCAGACCAGAAATGATGCCCGTATTTACGTATATTGCAAATTATTCTCAGAGACAAAAAATATATTATTTCCACAACGGACAGTACAGAAAAGCCCATGAAGAGTCCCAACAAACCTCCACAGTTTGCGAAAAAGTCCGTGTGGCCATACAATTCGTTCCTTTCTGAATTTATAAATTGCTGCTCTTTGAAGAACAGGGTCACTCTAGTCATCTGGACTCTAAAAAGAATTTAATTAAAATTTTCTAAATTCAGTTAAAGAAATTGTACCTACTAAAATGCAATGAAACCATTTTCAATAAGATAACAAATTAATTAGGTTAGGTTAGGTTAGGTTAGAAGCGTTCGAAATGTGTTATTACAGGCGAATGATGAGGATACCGTGGATAGAGAAGGTTAGAAATGAAGAGGTATTAGAAAAAGTAAGAGAACGAAGGACTCTATGGAAGTCAATAAGAAATAGGCGAGATAGGTTAGTAGGACACCTTCTCAGGCATGAAGTTCTAGTCAGAAACATATTAGAGGCAGAAATGGAAGTTAGGAGGGGTAGAGGTAGACTTAGATTAGATTACTGTTCGCAAATAGTTAAGGATGTGGGTTGTTCTAGTTTTAGGGAAATACGAAGATTAGCTCAGGATAGGAAAAAGTGGAGGTGCGTGTCTAACTTGTCTTAGGACTGTCGACCTTATGATGATGAACTAATTAATTAGTCAGTGTTTCAATCCCCTTTTTTGGTAGGTATATAAATAAACTTTGAACAGTATTTTGCTACCAACATGATCAGAAGAAAAATATTAATCGATCAGTATAAAAAAAACTGGGCAGAATGGAGTTAATTAGGTTATGCTAAGGTACTCAGTAGGCAACTTAGGTTAGTTAAGATACTGACCATTTAAATATTGATTTAAACATAGAAAAAAGATGTCAGGTAGGAATTGCAGCGGACACGAATAAAGAAAGAGGAATAATATTACTCTAATTGAAGTGTAACAGAAAGAGATGTAGCCTAGCAGAATTTGCCAGCAAAGAACGTTCAACATTCTTAGTAATTTAAGAAAGAAAACCTATCTTAACGCGTTTGTAAGCGGTAGCATAAAAAAACTAGTGGTATAATATAACCTCTATGCGTGGAATGAGACTAAAAATTATGGACAACATCGTCGTTTCAGCACGTGATTCGACGATCTGAGCGGTAGTTCACCAAAAATCTTTACAGCCTCTATACGTGGAGGTGTAGTAAAATGGGTGGCTTAAATCGTCGGTTCAGTACGTGATATGGCAATTTATGACATTTTCATGAGCCTATCTTTGTGAGCGGTAGTCCACCAAAAAACTCGAGGTAGCTACAACCTCTATGAGCGGAATGAGACTAAAAGGGATGGACTAAATCGTCATTTCAGCACGTGATACGCCGACATATGATATTTTCATGAAACTATCTAGACTCGTCTCTGAGCGGTAGTCCAATTTAAGAAAGAAAAGACGCTTGTTTAAAGACTTTCAACCAGCCATAGACCCTGATCTTTTGCGTATCTAAACAACCTCTAACCGTTGCACCGCATACTATTATTCGGTTACTCATGAAGCATTTCCTAACTTATCGAGGGCATAAATGGGCAAGTACCTGCGCGACCGTTCGCCAGCTTCCAACGTCAGGCCTGTATGTATATTCTTACAGATAATTTACTCCGGACTTAGATCGTCCCAAGTATAGTAATTTTCGATGCATTTTTTGATAGCAAACTAAATTCGTGATCTAGAATTATGAAATTCAACTGAGCCAAATCAGCAACACATGGATTTTGGACTTAACATATTTCAAAATTGTGCTGTGCTGTGCAAAATTATTCTAGTTCAGCAAGAAAAGATAGATACCCCAGGAATAACAGCTGCTGTTTTGCTTATTTTCTCTCTTAATTTTACGTAGCAATCCTTTTTGAAAAGTCAAAAATCGCAATAAAACTTGCTACTTCTGATTTTATGCCATATTCAAGTGGAAAAACTAAGAGAATTTTTCGACGCCAGGCTTAGTCTAGATAAAAACGACAACCTTTTTGGAACAAACAAAATAGCTGAAACCCCAAGAACAACTAAAGTGTCGTGTTTTGGCGTTGGGGTTTGAACTATTTTGTTTGTTCTACAACAACCGCCAAAGTTTTTCCAGTCTTCATATTACGACAACCTTTTTTCCTTGATTTAATCAAAACAGAAATATAGAAAGATGAAATGAAATCCACAAATATATTTCGTGATGAAGTTCTAGTTTTGGACATTCAACGGCGACATATTTGTAGCATTTAATTGGTATAGGTCTTGCAATTGTGTTAGAAAGTTAAAGGCCTAAACTACCGGACGGAACTTACGTACCTCTAGTATTTCAAACGGAATATACACCAGCCCACGACGCATACTTTGCAATACTTAATTTCGTTGACTTGTATACTTCATTTACTTTCTGTAGCGATGTGCCCCTTCCAATGTCTTGGATGCGCGTTGGCAAAATCGTAGGTAGGGAGAAAAAGCTCATTATACTCTCGACTCTTGTTCATTAAACATACTTTTTCATATAGTACCTGCCAAAAGTTTTGTTCAATCATGAATAGTAGTGCGAGTCGAAAACAAGCGTTGAAGCCTTTAATATGTCTTCAAATATAAATAAACATCTCGTTGATATTTTCAGTAGTAAATGGTATTGCACATTTGAGCAATGCAATTGTAGTGGATAAAAATGGTCAATTTTTCGGTGTAGTACTGTATGGATTATACGCTCCTCACCGGTTAAGAGTTTAACCGAGAGTTGTCTCCTTCCTTTTCTGGCCTAGTGTTGTTCTTTTCTACCTTGCGCCAGTCAAACTAAAGGTCACATCGCTACAGAAAGTAAACGAAGTATAACAATTTAAATTAGAAAGCACTTTGATTTTGTTATATGTTTGTGTTGTTGGTGGTGGTGTGTTTTTTAGCAAGAATAAAACCAAAATTATTTTGTTCGTTCTTCTACCAAATAAAATTGCTTTAGGTACATACCCTGGAAATTCGCTAAAGTTGACTTTGTAAGATTCAAAAACTTTCTGCCAGTTAAAGTCAGCTTGCGATGTTTCAGCGTTGTATATTAATGAAGTACATGCTGGAAGACAGTCACAAGTGTAACGATCTGAGGAATCTTCATCGTTGCTTCCGGATTTCTTCAAACCATATTCCACTTGATTTTTTAGTAGTGATACTGCAATTTTTTATCATGTGTAACTATAATGGGGTGTTTTCTCACATCATTCATTCATTTTTTTTTGAAAGATTCAGACCAATTTGAATTTTAATTGAAATAGCTAAAATTTTGCCAAAATCAGAAAAGTGTTGCCCAATTAAGTTTTTGGGTCTTTATCATGCTCTGCTCTACCCATGTAGTGACTATGAAATTAACACTTTTAAATTTTATATCATATATATATTTTTTACCTTGTGCTTCGTGCATGCAAACAAGTTTCTTAGATCCACAAATTTTCGTGTCTTCTGTATCTGTAAAAAAAAAACCATTGAATTAGCGAATAGTAAGTCGCATTTTTGCACGTTTCATACTATTTACGAGTAGGGTTCCGTGCGTCAAAGGTTAAAAATGCTCTTGAACGATTAATTTATAAATTCCAAAAAGATTTTAAAAGGTGCATGTCTGAAGTACGACTCTGTACGCATGAAACTTGGATGCGTCGGAAAAGAATGAGCTAGAAGTGTTTGAAGGATGGTGTTATAGGCGAATGATGAGGAAATTGCTGTTGAAGGTTAGAAATTAGGGGAATAGAGAACTCTATAGGAGTCAATAACCAATAGGCAAGCTAGGTTGTTTGGACACCATTGCAGCTATGAAGGACTAGATAAAGACTCATTAGAAGCAGAAATAGAAGTTAGGAGGAGTACAGGTAGACCTAGATTAGATTACTGTTCACAAATAGCTAAGGATTATGGAGGTTTTAAGGAAATGCGAAGATCAGTTCAGGATTGGAAAGAGTGGAAGTGTTTGTTCAGCCAGTATTTAGACTGACGACCTCTTGATGATGATGATGATGAAGGTACAGCGTCTATTTAACTTAAAAGTTAGCTATCTTATTTGCATACATCAGATAAATCAATCTCAAAACAATACTAACATGATAACAAAAGTAAACACCATGATCACCTAAAATTCTACTGTATCATGAAAAGTAGTAAATGAGTATCTAATTTTCATACTAAGCATCATAAAACTGTCACATTTCTCAATTTCATATTGAAAAAGAGAAACGACAAAATGAAGAGCGTGGACGTTCTAAAAATTCTAATCCCGCGTTAATAATTGAATAATATTTTATTCTAATGTACCCTTGAATCTAAACAATTGTAAAAAAAAATGTTTCAACAAAACTTTACTAGTGATGCAGTGAAACTGTGATAAACATGTCGCTACGGAACCCTTTACCTGATGGTGAATAATGACTTACGGGGCATGTGATAACCTACACAATCACAAGCTTTCAAAGTGTAATTGGTAAGGCATTCTATTTCACAATTTTGTTGAGTGTAAACCTTGAAGAATCTCAGTTCTCTTTCAGAAGGGAAATAGCATTGTCTTCTGTGAGGTTCGTAATCTTTTAAGCCATCCGAAGTCGTCATCATGTCAGGTTTAACAGCAACAATAACTTCTTGGTTCAGTGGAGCTCTAAAATATTGTTGACTGACGAGAGGATACTCTGCTGGATGATGTAAATTAATCTGAAAATTGTTCTTCCTATAGAATTGTTTTATGAAAATAAAATGTGTGGATTGCCAATCCACTTTTCTTGTAGCGGATTCGGCTCGGTCTGGAGCAGAAAGAGGCGTCTTAGCGGTATCTAAAAACCCATGTTACATGGCACCTGGAACGTAAGCAGCATTCTACGCGCTCGGCGCCGCCGTAAAATAGTCAAATTAACCTCCGAATCCGTTACATGGAGTATTGATTGGCAATCCATGCACAGTGTGACAGGGGCTTTTGGTTTCGTTTTATGACGGTGGTCATTTGAGTGTCCCATTCCCACAAGCCACTAACGATGGTGGGCGGGCAATCCCTACGATCTATGCCGGAAGGTAGAGCGGAAGGCCCTCTTCAGCCTCCTTTCAGGAATCGTAGGAATGGGTTGGGTAATGGTTCGGGTGAGGAAGATGAGACGGACGAAATGAAGACGAATGAGTATGAAAGATTATCTGTGAAATATTACTGTCCCGGCATTTGTCTATGTAATCCAAGGAAACCACAGAAAAACTCGAACCAAGGCAGACGGGCCCGGAATCGAAAGGACGTTCTCCTGAATGCTAACCAATGGTCTAAACCTCGAGGCCATGCCGCTCGGTGTATAGAGGGACCGAGACAAAATTTAACGCTTTTGCATCACGTATGATTTTTGCTAATCAGATCTCTGCGGCATCGTTCCTATCTTCCAATAAGTTATTCGTTCACTGCAAGGGCGCCACTAGTCAATTGGCCGGGGGTGGGGGGCAGAATTACAGAAAATATGAGTTGTTGGAAAATAAAGTAAGTTTCGTAGAAAAACTCTTTTGTTATAAAAAAAATCTTCTGCTACAATTATTACCAAAATTCGATTTCAGAAAAGAGTCAACAGCGCGCAATACATACGTAGAATCCTATTGTGTGTTTGAGTCCCCATAGAGGAGGGAGCAGTTGACCGACATAAAATACACCTCATTAAACCACAACATTTTAGACTTAGATAAGACCAATATGTTTAATTTCGTATTGGTATTCTAATAGTTAATGAAATTGCCAAAACTTCTTAAATACTAATAGCGTTTACAAGATTTTTATAACAAGATGAACTATTTGAAAGCGTTTTGGAACTTTTAGATATTGATATTTTTTTAAAAATAATAACAATATTTTCAAGAAAGAGATACAACAGGTGTTCGACCAAATTTTTATTCCTACTAATCAAGTCACATTTAGCATGCGTATAATTTTCGAAGTGAACGCAGAAGCTGTACAATTGAGTGGTTGCCTCACTTGCTAACGATTATAAATTATGTTACAACACTATGTCAACCGTGAATGGTTAGTACTACATAAATTGAATAAAGCGCATGTGATGTTACCAGCGAATGATGAGGATACAGTGGATAGAGAAGGTTAGAAATGAAGAGGTATTAGAAAGAATAGGAGAACAGAGGATTCTATGGAAGGCGAGATAGGTTCTCAGGCATGAAGGTCTAGTCAGAGACATATTAAAGGCAGAAATAGGAGTTAGGAGAAATAGAGGTAGACCTAGATTCGATTACTGTTTACAAACGGTTAAGGATGTGGGTTGTTTTTGCGGAAAAAAGGCAGAGGGTTAAAGACTTGATATGCCATGATAATAATGTACTTCTAATTACTCATTTAAAGAATAAGATCAATTTAAATTGAAGTGCTTATTTAGATTCGATGATATTTTTACCTTAAATCCTTGGACAGGGCCTCTACAAATGTAATCCAGATCATAATCATACGCTCTGAGAAGTATACTTAAACCAGCCTTTTGTCCTGCCGAGATCGCCCTCCTTGGAAACGTGTCTGTTTCCAACTTTTCAGAGTAACCCTTTTCTAAGGACCAGTCCTCCGCTCTAACTCCGTGGGCTAAGTAATCCTTGTTATGGTAACTATCATGGTTATCATAGATAACTTCTCGTTAGTTTCATAAATAAATAGAACATGAATTATTAACTTACACTTCATTAGAGAATAATTCGTCTCTGTCCAGCATGTTAAAAGAGAAGCATATCCCTTCTTCTGTTAACATCGGGGTAAACAGATCGTTGCATGTAGTGTTCGTATTTAGCCATTTACATTGCCAAAGCGATTCAACGAAAGGTGGAGCAATCTGAAAAATAGGAAACGACGCAGGAGTTACTATGTTAGAAAATGAGGAAAAGGTAGGCAGGTGGAATAATATTTAGAGAATCTATACGCAGGTCAAGATTACTGTTACAACAGATCTCTGCTTTTGCTTTCACAATTGCGGAAGTTCCTCATACATCCGCTTGTGGATCTGGTTCCGCATTTTTATAACGAAAACATATGGGAACTTAACAAAATCTTATTTCTCATATGTTACTTCATTATAGAACAAACAACATTGGAAATGTGTATACTTACTTCGGTCAGAAAATCTATGGTATCATATTTAATGAAATCACTGCCCTGGTGAAATAAATGGTTTTCGCAAACAAGTGCCACTTTGTCAAGCTTATCTCTTCTACAAAATAAAAAAATGCATGTGATCACAAGAAACAATAAAACGGGAAACTAAATAAAATTATTTACGTCAAACATGATGCCTTATTCATTATTATGTGGCTAACATTGTAACAACGTTTCGTTATTATGTAATTACTTTCATGTCATCAATAGAGTGAAAGGTGCAGGATGCATAACGTAAATAAATTAATTTTGAACATGGGGGTCATTTTTGGGGATTCATTTAGAAATAAAAAAAGTATTGCAAACTATACCGTATGACATATCAAATGAAAGGGCTTGTTGTAAGGATCTCAAATATATTTTTTTCATAATTTCACTAATAATTGCACACATTGGGGTATTAATAAATTAATTTTGAAAATGGGGCTCATTTTTGGAGCGCCAATACGAAATTACAAAAAAGGTTTTGCAAACTGTACCGTATGACATATCAAATGAAAGGGTTTGTTGTAAGGGTCTCAAATATATAATTTATAATTTTAAAATAANTTTTCAAAAAAACACAGAAAGCAGTTCTTTACTTACAGATTACAGAAAAATTAATAAGAGGTCTATGGTTTGAACATAACGTGGTAAATTTTTCAACAAAGCAATATTCTGGGTACAGTTGCAGTTTGACTGTATGGGAGAACATGTTTCTTTTTGAACTACAATGTTAAGTTGGTTCTCGGATTAGGCTTCCATACGTCCGAATGAAAAATGGAACCTTTATAGGATCACTCGTGCGTCTCTCTGTCCGTTTTTTACTACTTACTCTTCATCGGTTAAATTGTTGTACGTCCTGAATTTCATGATAGTTTCGGTAAAATTGAAAACAGATTTCCTCGATTTCGTTTCAGAACATATAGTAACAGAAGGGAAAGGAATTTCCCAAATAGGAGTCGGACTACGAGCGAAACTAACAATAACAGGTGACTTGTCCCATTTTTCGTATGTCTTGATTATCATATAGGTACAAAAATATAAAGACAATCCCAGGATAACTAACCAAAAGAACCTAAAACAACAGAACATAATTTTAGGTTTTAATTATACTGGAAATGCATTCAACAACAAATTATAGTTATAGATAGTTACGTATTATTACATGTTTAGATAATTACATATTATTTTATGTTCATGACTTAATCTTACTTAATTGTATGAAAATAAGTAAAACAAAAATACTGGAAGTAAAAATAACGAAAGAGCGAATATAAAGATAGAAGCAGTAAATTAAGGTATCTAGAAAATCAAATAAGTCAGAACGGAAGGAGTAGTTGGTATAAGAAGCAGAGGATAGCGCAGGGTCAAGTCGCCTTCAATAAAAAAAAGTCATTTCTATGCTCGCGAACGATTAATTTAGAAATTCGAAAAGCTGTATGTTTGGAGCGCGGCGTTGTACGGGTGCGAAACATGGACGGTGGCTGCGGTAAAAAAGAAAAGGTTAGAAGCGTTCGAAATGTAGTGTTACCGGCGAATGATGAGGATGCCGTGGATAGAGAAGGTTAGAAATGAAGAGGTATTGGAAAGAATAGAAGAACAATAAAAAATAGGCGAGATAGGTTGGTAGGACACCTACTTAGGCATAAATATCCAGTTAGACAAATTAGAAGCAGAAACAGGAGTTAAGAGGAATAGAGGTACACCTAGGTTGTTGTTGGGTTGTTCTAGTTTTAGGGAAATGCGAAGATTAGCTCAGGATGCGAAAGAGTGGAGGTACGTGTTCAGCCAGTCTTAGGACTGACGACCTGATAAAAAGAACAACCAGTTATTGACCAGCAATTTCTTGAAACTACTAGATAACTCTACAAGATATATGTATATTTATAGGATGAAGTAGTTAAAGAATAGCGTAGGGTTAGGTCGCTTTTAACGAAAGGAAAAATCTCTTCTGCTCGAGATCGCTTACATCAGAAATTCAGAAAAGGGGTAGAGATGCACCGGATAGATTTTGCAAGGTATTGGATAACCGAGTTCCCATAATTAGATCTACCGGCGGAATTTCTATATTAAATACCATTACCAACGTCCCAAACCACATTAGTCCTGTTAAAAGGATCGTTTGAGCACTGAACCAATGAAATGTAATTTCGTGGTAGGTGGATTGTCAACGTAAGGATTGAGTTGAAGTTGAACCGAGCCTATAATGTTTATAAACACTGAATGTCAACTGCAAGGTGAAAAGATCATGCCATTTAGTTATCGTTAATTAAAACCTGATATGCCAGCAAGCGACAGAGTTTGTAATAGTTTGGCCATACCGAGGGGGAAACTACCTACTGACGAAAAAGCGTACACCATAAATCCCCTTTATGGAAATAATTCCCATAATCTATAAGTAATTTCTATTTCTTTAGATAAATCCCCATATACATTTATAAATCTCATTAGTTTTGCCGTACATCCCATAAATCCTTGGGATTCCATAATAATTCCTGTAATTCCTCTAAAATTCCACAGAATTATGCTAATTTCGTACTGGAGTAGGTAAATGAATGAAAATTATAGAGGAATGATTTTGGATACGGAATATAAGATATATGCAGATATAATTAAAATTAGGTTAGAAAGGGAAATTGAAATGAAGAATATTTTAAGCGAAACAAAGTTTGGATTTCGAAAAGGGAGGGGAACTATTGATGCGACATTCTCGTTAAAAAAAATAAAATGGAAACGCAGATGGAATTGAAATTAACTGAGAAATGGAGATAAGTAAGATAAGGGAGAGAGAAATAGTGGTAGGAATCTGAATAATTTGGAGAATGACTTACGCGGACGATATATCTTTGATGTCAACAAATTATGGAGCGATAAAAGAGATGATAAGAGTATTGGATAAATTTCAAAAAATACTACAAATGGCACAGTGAACGCCATCTGTAGCACGATGCTACATTTTAGGATTACGTATGCTCCAACAAGGTCCACTTGTGTGGATATCTACTTGCTGAAAACGAATCCCGGCGTAGCCAACCTCAACGTGATAGGCACGTTAGCTTNCTGCCTGCGGCGCGCTGATGAGATCCAAAAAGATCGAAATCGCGATCCGCGTCTGGCAGTTTCGACAGAATACAGACCACTTCGAATTATTTTATTGGATAAATGTTTAAGAAGGATTACAATTGAATGTCAATAAGACGAAGATTATGGAAATAGATGAGATTAGAAATTAGAAATGTTTGTGCAGTTAATTATTCCCCACCAAATAGAAATAAATCTTTTGTAATCCCTCAATAATTTCAATAAATCCTTATAATTCCTAATCAATTCTTGCTTTTCTAAATAAACCCCCTTCATTCCTCAATCTAAAAAGGAAACCCTAAAACTCATGGAGTTTCGACAAGGTGTACACCACTTTCTCTATTTCTGGCCTACGCATGTCGACAAGGCCTCTCACCCTTAAGAATAATTTAGAAAAACCATGCAATGAAATCTTCTTTTCAGTCTAGGTTTCGAACCCGCGGTCCTTAGATGTTTTACCTTTAATTGCATGTCTTTATCAAGGCGAGTTCTACCTGTTATCTATAAGTTTAAGTTAATCCGATGGTATGCTCTCAAGTTAAAGTACGTATTGTCTAATACAATAGGTCTGCAAGAATGTATAAATAAAACAATAAATAATTTAAATAGGTAAAACAATTTTTGAAAAAAAAATAGCACAATGAAAAGATAAACTAATCAAAGTCATAATTAATTAAAATTACAATCACGTGAATGTAGCAGACATACAAAAAAAATAGTTTAAGTGTATTAGATATTCTTTTTTATATTTTTTTGTGTTATCAACTTTTTTATTATTGTAATTGTACTGTTTTACTTCCACGTGGATCTAATTTTAATTAATTACGCTTTCTAATATTTTATCTTTACATTGTGTTGTTTTCTTTTTTAATTTTCACTTTTTTGTACATTTTGGCAAGGTATTGAACTTGGTTTTTATACGTCAGTATACATTTATTATTTGTCAACAAATTTTAAATAGAAAAGGAGTAATAGTACTTTCTCAAACTTTTTGATCTACTACCCCTTTCTGCACTTAATAATCAAAGGCCCCCTTCTCGAAGACGCGAAAAGCTCGCTGTAAATATTAGCAGCTAACTTCATGATGCCTTATATAGAAGAGCATATATATTAAATAATATCTCTAACTGCATAAAAAGCGCTTAGAACTTAGGCATGTGATCTATCTATCTAAAAGGTTTGTAAGATTACATTCAAACGTTCATAAAAAGTTTGTAATTTTGCCTTAAACGCATAAAAATTTCTTGCTGTGAAACATATTTTTATATTACAGCCCACTGCATTGGATTCACAGTTATCAATTTTTGCCGGACGTCTTCGTTTTCGGGAATGTCTGAAAATCCTGTTCTGGATTAATTTTAACATTTCTAGCAAAAATTTTAACACTTTCTATTAAGTTTAAAGTTGCATTTTGCTGTTGCTTTCTTGGAATTAGGGATTCTCTTGTACTATTAATAATGTTTATTGCGTTTATAATGTTCAAATCTTCCTTTCCTCTTTATCCCGTTTTTAGAAGACGCTTATAGTAACCGTCTTATACTTTGGGGTATTTGGCTGGAATTATTGACAAGAAGTCCGATTTCATGATGATACTGTAAGGGTAATCTTTGCTACCTGTGAGAGTTCAGTGAACACCGAAGTACAGGTCGGACGAAGAAAGCTGGCGAGCGGTCGCGCAGGTACTTGCCCATTTATGACCTATTTGGGTAAGTCACTTGGAACCGATACACAAATAAGCTTTTAGTAGGCGTAAATTATAGTATTAATACAGATAGGACAGTAGCGTACTAGAAAATAATGTAAAAACATAACTTA